CCTCTCCCACTTCGGGACGTCCAAGGGCACAGTTTTTGTGTCGGTGTCAGGTCACAGGTCCACGAACAACCTTTCTATACAACAAAACCCAACCTTTTATACCAAATGAATATTTACAAATATCAATTTGTACTTTATAAATAAAGTAGAAAAAACAGGCTTAAATAATAATAGAGCATAACATGTGAGAACATTTGTTGCTTAGTTTTTATAAATGTGTATTTTAGATTAATTGTGTATCAATATGTTATATGTTTAGTGTTCTAACAATACATTCTTATATTTTGTGTATTTTAAGTCTTTTACTGATGTAGGTATGTTTAGTTCTCTCTAGACAATCGGTAACGAATGCAATACGTTTCAGAAAACTGAAATTAATCTACGAAGATTCATAATTTTATATATGAACAAGGAGAAATTAAGTTCATGATGAAATTAAGAGGAGATTAATTCATAGAACTGCTTATTATTATTCAGTTGAAAACTATTATCATCATATCTACTTTTATAAATACAAAAACAATAACTTTGCCAGTTATTTTGAATAGACGTAAAAGTGTCCCTTTCGGGGAAGAACGTAAATTATAAGGAACTGAACAAAGTGGCCTTAAGAAGGATGGAGTAATTGAGTTATTCAAAATAAACTTATTAGAAAGCTAGAAATTTAGTGGGTTTCGCATTTAAAAACAAAATTATTTCATAACACAGCATTAATCGCTGCAATGGAGAACATTCATGTTTTCTTTGCTTACGGGGTGAGTTGATGATTATTATTTGGACGACCTCCGGCTTTAAAGGGCTAATTTATTCTATAAATGCATGTTATTTGTCAACGCATGTTTACTAAATGTCTACTAGGTTTCTCTGGGTGTTCATTTGCTCCGTGAAGTAATTAACAAATGCCTTGAATGGAGGTCCCTTCAAATTGCTACTGACATCTGAAATTACACTCGTCACTTTTTAGTGCAGCTGCACTAAAAGTTTTTACCCGAAGTTATTGCACCGATTATAATACAATTTCGAAAGCTTCCAGTATTAGTGAAGTACTCGGTATTAAATGTGACTGAATTTCGCTGATTTATTTGTCATTATAAATTTAATAATTGTAACATGATGCAATTAAATTGTATGTAATAATATATAGAGTTTACCGACTCCAAGTGTGTGATTAAATTTATCATGCACCTTACAACGAGCAGTTTCCAATTCGTATCTGTTTTTATGTATGAGCTTCATTTATGAGTACATTTATAATAATATAAGCTTGTTAAGAGCCACGGTGGTCTAGCGGTTAGAACGCTGGCCTTGTAATCCTGGGGTCTCCGGTTCGATTCCCTGCGGTGCCCGAATTTATAACTTGTGTTGGGCAAGGCCGTGGTCTAGGCAACACGGAGTTTTCCTCCGGGGGCTTCCCCGGTTTCATCCCAACAATTACTCCATTCACACACAGAAGAAGGCAATGGCAAAACACTTCTGGATCATCTGCCAAGAACGTATATGAACAGGTCCCAGTCCGAGAAAAGGATGGAAGGATCCTGTTCATATGGACCTGTCGTCAGACAGAACACTAAATAAAATAAATAAGCTTGATAAGAAACTCAACAAATGTAAGCTTATCATTTTTGAACAATTCAGAATTGCCCGTTCTCTGTATGACTTGTTAATAGAATAAAAATATATTCAAAAAGGACTATGCATTACTGTTTCTAATTAAGTGAAATTCTCTATACATAAATTTTTAAATTTTGACGTAAATACGTCTATATGGAAGGGTTATTCCGCAAAAACGTGTTACGAAAAAGTGACAGGAAAATGTGTAACATGGTTACCTAGAAAATATCAACAATTTGTAAATATGGACTGCCAACAATGGTCAGCTTGCATGCATTGTTATGTTACCTAGGAAACGTAATCTGTTTACTCGGCATTGTTGTGTTACATTACTGCCGTCAACAATCCGCTTTCGTAACAAGATGGATGACATTGAAGATAACATTACATTACATTACATTAGAGAGACGTAAATATAATTTAAATACAGAGACGTATTTACGTCAAATTCTCCGGAGCCGTGGTTCCACTGTAACTTTTTAACTTCTTACAGTTTTCCTTTCCTCATGGATGGACATTCCTTTGGCCACGCCCTACTTTGTTACAACTCACGAATCACATCATCATTTTATCTGCTGCAAGAGCCATTGGCCTTGCAGCGAAATAGCCCGTCATTCAATAAAATAAGTCTAAGAGGATTTAATCATGTCTAGCAGGAACTCTTGCATGACAGTTCTCTACAGAATCTCCGCCTATTCAGCTACCTGACCAACCTTATCTCCCTCCCTCCCCGATTCTTCCATCGTTCGACCACCTTTCCATGCTACACTTCTCTTAGCTTTAGCATTCGCACTCCTGAACAGATTTCGAAATGCGTGAGAAAAAACAAGTTTTTGTTTATATATTTCCATACTGGAATCCAGACTTCAGCGTGTTGTCGTGTTCGAACAATAGACCACGTTTGACTGTTTCATGTTGTACAGAATCGTGAGTTTCGGGCAGGTCAGTTCGCGATGAACAACTCTAATACAGGTCTAAATAGATTCACATTCTTTGCTCGTCTAGATCGTTTATTTGAAATTAATTATAATTCCTAATAAGTCCCCGGACTCTGATTTATAAGGGCTTGAATAATAATTTAGATTTTTAAATTCGCTTACAGATGGAAGAATTTTCTATAAACGCAATTTTCATAATAAATTACTAATTGACGGGCAGTTATATAACGTGTATTGTTCATGGTCGTATTAGCATTGGAGGGTATAGTTTACATTTTAGAGCCCGTATATTAAGGCAGAGTGTAAACAAATGCTTATTAACACTGCTTACTCTTTTGGATATATACAGAACTGAACTAGTTTATAACTGCGATGGTTTAGAAGTCAAAAGTTCAGCTATTTTCTATTTAAATATAATATTTAATGTAACTGTCCTTGATGTCTGAAGACATTTTGATTTATGGTTTTTTAAAAGTTTCAAACAGACCAAGAATTCAGTAGCCTGAGGGCGAAGACGAAGATGGTTCTCGAAACGTCTGTGTTCTCGCCTTTCACCCACCTGACACGGCTGGTAGCCCAAGAAGAATTCATTATACTTAGACACCGTGAAATCTTCGGATCATACATCATTAGACTAAGAAAAATTCTACTTTCTGTCTGTCGTGTACAGTCGATATCAGTAGTGGTACAATCAAGTTAAAGAGAAATTAAATAAATACGCTTACGTCTTAAAACATCTGGGGAACATACAAACTGCACACCGGAACAAACGCTGTACTATACATCGTCATATGAACGACAATTTCCAAAGAGCAGTTTCCGGATTTGAAGTTTAATCATTTAATTTTATTTCAATTAACGACGCTGTCAGTAACTTTAATGACATGATGATTAATACGTAATGAAGTGGAAAGGAATTGGAAGGAAGCGATTATGGCCTAATTTAAGCTATAATCCAAACAATTGTCTAGAGGGACTGAAGATATAAAAGACAAGCTCGGTTAAAAAATCGGTTTCCATGCAGACATTTGAACCAGATGCCTCTCGAACACGAAGGAGTGTGATATAAAGTTTGCTGGACCAGAATAAGGTCAAGGCACACTGTTCTAGGTTCCAGAGGTTCACCTAAGGGATAGAAGTCATCTATAAAGAACACACCATAAACCGTGACTTAATTTGAGTCATGTAGATATGACTTAAGACATAAGCAAAGTTAAGTTCTCGTCCTGAATGTAAAGAAAGTGGAACCTGAGACATACGAGGCACTGGGCCATGGAAGACGTAAAGACAGGTGGAGATATAGCTCTAGTCATTTGTCACTTTAACACTAGTTGGAGGTGAGAGGTCAGTGTCACGCCCCGTCCGCGCTTTGAACCCTAAGGGAAAGGACCCTGGGACCCAGTGCACAGGCAAATGAGTGGACCCCAAAGCCCTTCTAGACGCAGAGGCTAAAAGAAAATTTGTTCGCCTATGCTGGGAATCGAAGCCCGGTTTTCGAGCTAGTATTCTAGCCTAATAGATCTTTATTGTGTCAATGCTAATCTTGTGGATTGTAACGCAGCGTGGACTTATAGGACATTCGGAAGTTATAAAAATTCAGGCAATATGTGCGTTGCTGGTGACTGCCTCCCTGTGCCCACGCCAGTGAAGGCCTAACCTCGACATGTAGGCTCTGAGGTCCTCGAGTACGAAGATGGCTGTCTTCTGAGTATAGCGTTTTGTAGTCTGGTAGAAGCTTACCAACATATCAGAGATCAGTAAACTTCTGCCAGACTTTTCTATCAGGCTAAATGTCGCTACAACTTAGAAGACAGCCATCTTCAATGCCGACACCTTCTTCCCTGTTAGAACCTCAGATCTCAGCTCTTTATCATCTCCAGTCTCTTCCCTTATATTCTTAGAGAGACAAAACTGAGCAGAAATATGGCTTCAAAGCTTTGTCTCTTGTCTTATTTATGTAATAACTAATAAAATCTATTTTACGTAATATTGATGTCTTATTTTTTTAGTTATTTAACTACGCTTTTTCTGTAGCTAAGATTATACAGCGTCGAATAAGAAATTGATAGTGAATTGGAAAGGATGTGTATAGGAAGCGGCCATGGCCTAATTTAATGTAAAATCTCGGAATTTGCCTGGAGAGAGTGAGGAAAACCACAAAAAATTCGGCCACGATAATCGGTTTCCAGCCGAGATGGTGTATTAAAACTGACTCATTTTAGTGAGTGAAATTTAGGTAATTTATACATGTGAATCGTCGAACGTCGCGGTTGAGTGGTTAGCATTCCCATTTCGTATTACGGAGATCCCGGATTTGAATTTCCACAAAGTCGGCTTTGTAAACTGAAACTTTTCAAGGTTATCCTCAGTTCTTCCTAGATGGTACCTTAATTTAGGCTGCAACGTCTTCCTTCCATATCTTTACCAATTCATTATTTATTAATCATCCCATCACTTGACATCCGGTTCACAGTGCTGCAAAGTACAAAATATTTTTGTTAACAGATTATTCAGACTTGTCACGTCATATTTGCAGGTTCTCAGTTTTGTTTCTCATTTCCTCAGAAAGTTAAACTCAATTTTCGTTTACCTTTCGTCTGCAGGAACTGGTCCTTATCCGTCCACACGTGTTACGCCATAGATTTAGCCCGGATCACTAGTCTTGTAGGAACTCCAAATAAAACCATCTTCCAGCTACGGCTGTCGGCGGTGAACCCCAGCACGTCTGCAACTGACAAGCGAAATTCCCAGTCATTTTCAAGACGTGAATCTGCTTCTAGCTGCAGTGTCCGCCCAACCTCTGCATAGCTCAATCTGTGCCCCAGCCAACTCCGTCTCATACTAGTCAAATGCATTTCGCCCGCATTACCATATGCGTAAGAATACGAGTGGTACAGTTGAAAAACTCAAAATTGTATGCCGTCATTATTGACGGGAATTAATCTTTATTGTGATGAAAATCGCGCTGTAAGTACATTTATAATTTTCCTCGTAAACTAAATTAAATGCAAGAAGTTGTTCACAACGACTGAAGCCAAATTCCTGCCGAAAGCAACAACAGAAATCCCACCATAGCCCCAAATGCATTTCTCTCTACCAGAGTCGCCAACTTCAGAATTTAATTTTAATTGTTTTCGCATCGCACAAACGGCGAACTTGTAAAGTTTAACGTGACGAACACTGACTTTAAAATTAAAAAAAAAATACAAATTGGAAATGAAAGAGATGTAATACTATTTTGAGTTCAGTTTTTTAGTTATATTTGTGTATTATTTTAAATAATATAAATCCAGCAGACGTGAGAAAGATGACAAATGAACGCAGCATTTTAGTCTAAGAATCTGATCGCTAGACGTTGATCGGCCTATTACATTTTTTTAAATAACGTTTTAGTACCTGAACTTCGGACTTGTACTCGGACAGTGAAAATATTAGTCTAAAATTTGTTTTTACTATGAAACAAAATTTTACTAACTTAAAAAAAAATTGTGAAAATTTATAAGTACTATTTAATTTAAGTGAGTTTCCAATAATTTGTAAGCAGCAATTAATTGTTTCAGGAAGGTTATTTATTAATGAATATAAAGTTATAGGCTTAGTGCATTTAATTAATTTACAATAGAGACTACAAGAAGACTTACTCTACGCAACTGAAAGACGACAATTTTTATAAGGAATATTACTTTGGCGTCTATGAGGAGTCGAAATATATTTCAAGCTTCCAAACTCCCTCAGTTACTTCAAATCCGAGTTAGTGCAGTTTTGGTCCCTGTTCATTACAAATAATGCCAACTTTAAAATACATAATACTATCACCTTTCCGGTTGTTTCATATATATTTGAGGTTTATAAATAATTAATTAATTGTCTGTTAACATAATTATAACACGTTTCTGCAGATTTCATCTGTTATATGCTAATATGTTTATTGAGTACTTCCACTGTGTGACTTTGGGATTGAAAAGATCGAATAAAATTGTAAATAAACCTATTTTAAGTACAGTTAACATTACAATTGAAAATCAGAGCTAACGTAAATTTCGGGTTCTCACGGCGGTGAGTGTGAGGATGGATGTATCTTCGGTTGTTGCGCTGCGTAGTCTGATAGAACTTTACTGACGTTTCAGAGGTAGTTGATGCCTCCATAGGGCCCTGATGATAGATGCATCAATATTTCATCAGTTCTAGAGAAATGGGCGGGGGCATATTATTATAGGAAAAATCGTAATAGTGAAATATTTAAAAATGGAGAATGACTGAAAAATTGTTCCACGTAACACAACCAACATGTGAAACATCAATAATACGAAGAGTTTACATTAAAATCTGTAGATGTCTTTTAACCACTGACATAAGCTGTAGTTCGATTTTCATAATTTTAATTTGTTTACGAACTTCGCGTGATTTCAAGTTACGTGCACCTAGACTAAATACGTACATTTGTATTCAGCTGTCGAAACAATTTCTGTTATACTTCTTTTGTATGTATTTTTCACCTTTGTTCTTTCATACTTATGTCCATATTTCTCATTACTGCTCACAACTATATTTTATTAATAAACACCAAGTTCCAATTAATTAAGTACTTAACACAAAATATTACGTGCATTTTGTTTCATGTAAAATTATTTTCTGTTTGAATAAAGCAGCATCTTTAATGTAGTTATAATCTCCTCCCTGTGAATCATTTCTAACAGATTTTCGTTACCTTAACCCACCGATCCATCTTCTTGGCCCTGAGAACGACGAGAGACAGTTGTTCCAGTTGCCTGTCTTGTCTTAACGAATCTGGAAACGTGGGAACATCATCTTCTACAAGTAGAATCGAATGGGGATTTTTTCTGGCTGCGTTGGAATGAGTTGGTAAGCTTGTTTGGTAACTATTAAACAGTTGGTCCAGATCGAGAAGAATACCTCTGCTTGCTGCAGCCCTGCACGCACCAAGCTGATGCTGCAGAGATGTTTGATGCGCTCCCCCTCCCCCCAATCTTCCATCTGCGGTGGACACCGGTCAAACCACCGCCGCTCACCCTCTTCCAGACTTGGGCTGTTTTTCGGCTTTTGCAAGATGCAGTGGACAGTGACAGAGGGTCGCAGCTTCCCGGCAGCAACAGCACCAGCAACTGAGATGTGAGTAATCTGCAAGAAAACGAAGACAAGAAGTAAAACTTGTCTTCTATTCTGTAACGTGTTTTATGTTCTTGAGTTACGTATTCAGCATTATCTATTCAACAAAAGCAGATATGAGTACGTTCTTTAGAGGCAGTTGATATTTTCCCAAGCTCACTTTCAATGTAGGCTTATTTCAAGTCTTGGAGTTTGTATTTTATTTTGAAAATTCTTACAGAAGCACCATATATTATCACTTAGTGTACCTAGTAATACCATGCCCTTATTATACTAATGTAACAAACATTTTTGGTAGGATGTTTAGTGAAGAAAATGCATATTTCATAGGGATAAGATCAGAAACCAAGTATTTAACTCATAGTCAATAGAAGTACGTCTGTATATCTGGCAAATACCATGAAAATTTATAAATCTATTATTTCCTAATTTATTTCAATGATAATTACATTTACAACGGTAATGTTTTTGGACAATATTTTAAAGCTTTTCACAACATAGATATAGACTAAACCTAACATTCTACATATTTTTTTTTAAATTATTATTTATTACATGTCTGTAGAATTACAGAAATATATTGATTGTTTGATTGTCGAAGTATTAAAAATTTCGTGTTAACTGTAGGAACTATATACCACAAAATGATCTGAACCAATTTAGAAGTAAATGCTCATTAACCCTTTGAATCCGAAGAGAGAGAGAGAGACAGAGAGAGAGAGAACACAAAATGGGGTGAGGGGAGGGGGGAGGGCATCAATTAAATTTTCTGTAAAGCGATGAAAAGTGGATCAAGGAGAGATGCTGAACAGTGTCATACTTCATTCGTACACAATTCCGAATTTTGATATTAGCCTCAGGAGGTAAAATAATTGACGTCCATTTGATGCACTACCATAATGCAAAACTTTTGTATTTACATTGGGAAGCCTGCATGAGAGGTCTGTAGTGTAACGTGGAATTTTAAGAATACAGTCCTTACTGCAAAGAAAACACAACACTTCTCTATTACAGAGATTAATTTGTTAATGCTCTTCAGAGAAATAATCACTGTTTATTCTGAGAGACGCGTGAACTCGTAAATAACACAATTCGGAGTTACTGATTATTAAAGTTGGTGGTACATGCAAATGCCACTAGGCTTAAAAGGGGCTAATAAGGTTGTGTGAAAGTTGTGTCCACGAATTCGCCTGGATAGACAGAGGAAAACCACAGAAATATCAGGGCACTATACAGTATATTCCTTCTAATTTGAGAAACATGTTGTCCCTTTTGATATTTAATTAAAGCTCAGGCCACTGCCACCAAGTTCCTAACGCGAATTTTTAATATGAAGAACCGAAACAATTTGCTATTTTAATATTTGTCACACCGTTAAAGTATTTTATTAAATCCAGAACACAAAACTAGTGATCGAAATTTATCATATGTAATCATATTTGATACACACAAATTAGTAATCCAATAATAGTATCGTGTTGCTTCTATAATGGTAAGATATTTAATATTTTGACAGGTGAAGCTCTGAATTTTATAAAAGCTCTGTAGTTTAGTAATATCAGCGTAAAATATCTAATTTAAAGTTCAAAAGCCACATCACTTGATCTGCTGAAGGATCACTGATTACCTCCAGATATAATCCAATTATTCTTCTCGAGCTTGTGGAATCGAATGTACTGGTTTGGGAAGTTTATCAGCGAGCATCGAATGCATAAAACGGCCACCTATCATTAAATACGGACGAAACTTGCTTTCACACACATCCACAAAAAGCTTATACGAGTGGATAAGCGATTGAATTCTGTCTTCTTTATTTAATGGAGCAGACTTCTTTAGTGATTTCCAGGTAATGTCTAAGTTTACAAAGTGAGTGTTTTTAAATTCTTTAGTGGTCACTAAAATGATATAAATTTATCTTGATATATAACATAAGCTTTACACCAATTCCTTCAATGGGTGAGTTTGTTCTCGATAATGCCTATTAAAATCGTCCAGTCAGTCTGTCTGCACCTATGAAATGAGCAGAAAACGCCTAAACGGATTTTCACGAAATTTAATATCGGTAAGGTAGAAAAACTCTCGACATATTATAATTTTGTTTAAAATCGGACAACAATAACGATAGCATAACTTTAATTTAAATTCCATTCACACGACAATTATCCTATGTTATGTTTAAAATATAGTAGTATTATGTTTTTAACTTAATTCCTGCTTTCAACTTGCCATCTCGTTTAAGGATAACTCTAGATTATAACATACCGTGGACAGTAAATATTACCAAACATATTTTAATTATATGCGTTTTATAAATTATTTTTATACATTAGTCAATGACTACTATGAAAACCTGCCTTTCACGCAGTTTTCGTAAAACAATACCCGAAAGCTTATATAAGCAATGATTGCAAATGTCGAGGAAATATGAAACTTTTTAAGTAAAGGAATGGTGATTCGAACCAGGTTGCCTACTTGAAAAAGCAGACTGTAATTTTTTTATAGACACAAGACTGAGTGAGTTATTTTCCAATACTTAATACAGCGGCGTTTTTCTATTTTATGATTTCATTTCAACTTATTTTTGAAAGCTGTAGGATGCATCACGAATGGGTTGTGTGGCGTTTCGATTACTTTATATGATAATGCAATATTTTAATTACTGGATAGTTTAGCTTTTTAGTTTGTGATTGAACATATCTAAAGGCTGAATATTATTTTCCTCAGAAAAATCACTTCCAATCAATCATCGTATTGTCTAAAATTTAATTGTAATTTGTTGATTCATTTATACGTTACAAGAGTGCAGGTTTTAGCATATTGGACACCATAAATCCTTCGTATGTTAATTAACTACGTTGTATCAAGTTTATTTGTTGTGTATTATCAAGTGAGTTGTAGTTAAAAGTCTTGGCGAATATAAGAGATATTTAAAGGTAAACTTACTAATACAACAGAGCTGTTCCTCAAGAGTAACTAAGGAAAACAATTTAGTTATTAAGAATCTTAGGTCGTACTTAAAGTTTTGAATCACGTACCTCTGAAATTAAAAAAAAAAAAATAGGCAGTATATTACCACTAATATTAATTGCTGGAAAGAAATGTGTAAAATCATATATTTAGTATAAAAAGTGACTCAGCTTCTTGGATCTAATTTTCACTCACGTAGGTTACAGAGAAAATCCACTGTTGCATCAATGATATGTTTTGTTTCTTTTATCTGGTTAGTCCTTCGCGTGACATTGGTGCAGACTTACAGTTCACGTGACGCACTGAGTCGCTGCAAACGCCTCGCAAGAGACGGATATTAAAGTGGACGCAGTCATGTACATATAACCTAACCTATTAATATATCTCCTCTACACAGTGACTGAGAACATCCGTCACATTTTATTATGGATCCTTACATCATTTCCCGTAACAACACCAGGATCTACGTTTCGCATCTCAGCACTATAAATCATAGACAATTCTATTGATTTTCTCTCGACGCCCAAGTAATTTGTGTGTCGGATGGCTTGGATAATTACATAAAAGTGCAGGAGTTGGCTAATAGGGAGTGTCATAGTTAATTTAACGAAGAATATAAATTATAAATTATTTACCTTCGAATGATATGTTTTATGACAGAATGATCGAGTTTCATGAATTTTAAAAATTAGAAAGAATTAAGTAGTGGCCTATTTTAAGTCGTATTTAATCATTCCTCTGGAAGAAACTTAGTAAGGCAATGAAATACTTTAGTCGGGCTTCGAAATAAGAGCCTTCCAAAGAAAAGCCGGTTGCAATACAGAGCAGTGGAAAAGTAAAACGACAGAAGATGGCATTTTACTTTATTTTTTGTAGAAATTACAGCCCAACTGATGATCTTTTATGTGTATTATGCCGTCTAAGGTACTGCGTTGCCATGGTAACGTGCTTGTCCTCACATGAGGTGAAATGTCGATTCGGCCAGAACTAAAGCCTGTTGTCCTATTGAGTAGGTTTCTAGTGTCACAAATCTTGTGTAGCAAATGCCCTATTTAGTTAGGGCTAAATAAAAGCCAGTTTAAGAATAATGCAATAAAATGCATTTAATCTCATTGTTACATCCGTACAAGGTCGAATGTTAGTTGGGTAAGATTTTCTGTCTTTATATCTAAATATGATGTGTAGTTATTAAAGTATAATTTAAGAGTTTAAGAGGTGCTGACGTATGTCTTTGGAACATTACACTGTCGTTTGATTTTAACGTAAGAGAATCTGGGGCGAGAGTAATTTTTAGAAGCTGTAAACCTACTGTAGGCCCAGTAAACAGGCGTAAAGCTTCATCACACTGGTTGCTGCCTACCGACAAGGCGCAGACAGGGGAAAGAGGAAAGAAGCAGGGCTGTCCATATCCCACCAAAGGGAAAATTTCAGACAGGTTTTGTGGCGCGGCGCTTTGTACACCCTTTACACTGTCTGTTGAAAGACTTCCAGCGATTCATCACAGTAACAGACGAACGTCATGGTCGAGTGGTTTGCATTCCATCTTTCCTTCTTTCCTGGGTTCAAATTTTGGTCCGGATACGGATATACGAAACAAAGAATAAATTTTGTTCCGACAGAGAAACATTTATGGCCACAGTATGTCTACCACAGGCCTACTACGTTTCGTGTTGTGATTTTTATTGAAACTTTCTTTTAACTAACAGATTTTACTAACTCTATAAAAACAATGAAATTTAATGAGTGATTCAGTTCAAGGAATGGCATGGCATGGCTACTGTGCTGCCAGACCAGTGGTCAACTAGCGTGACTTCGTTCATGCAAACGATGCAGCTTACTGGAATGGATCTATTATCTACGGCTTAACCGCAGGACAGGGCAAGCCCTAAACTGGTGGGACGCACCAAAGTCTTCAAGTCACACAGCAGCGCCGTGGCGCTTACTGAGTCAGTTATGAGGTTCTCGCTGTTTTACCCTGCCGTTAGCAACACGCAGATAGCAGTCAGAGCCAGCCGCATGCCAAATGCTACAGGTTAATAAGAATT